CCTTACTGACATAAATGAACATTTGTACGATATTCTAATTTTTCGAGTTTCACCTGTACTCTTTGTCCAGGTTTTCAGTTTTTGAAACATTGAGTGAACTGGTCTTTGTTTAATGAAGTTAACCATTTCTGTAGCATCATCCAGAACTTTTTTCATTTCATCTCCAAGTTTTTGACACCAACACCTCTCTGTGAAGAAAAGAGTGTGCTGTGACATTAGGATTTTCTTTTCTTACAAGAGAAATGAAACCTCTTATGGAGCCAACCATTGATGGAGCACCATCAATACAGATACCAACACAGTTCCTCCAAGACAGACTTTCTGTTTCCAGATATGAAGACAAAACATTAAATACATCTTGGCCTTTGTATGTTTATGTAGTTCTTTGCAGCAGAAAAAGTATTCTTGAATTTCACCACCATTTACAAATCTTACAAACGCCATAAGATGACATTTATTGGTGAAATCTGTTGACTCATCAACTTGCATAGAAAAGCTATTATCACACAAAATCTCTTCAGCATCATGTGACATGTCATCAATATGCTGAGTTACAGTACTGTCTGACAGCAGAACGTTTTCAATTTCTCATACTGCATCTGGCCCTAGCATTTTTCCCACTATTATTTTACATGCTGGCATGATTACTTTCTCACTCAAAGCATGACTTTTCCTTTGCTGTGTAATAAGTTCTGCTATTAAATAACTTGCTTCTTGGGCTTTATTATCATCATTAAACTTACCAGTATCGTCTGTCCTAGAATCCTCTTCTCTCTCATACCTCCTCTTCAAAAATCCTGACACTGGACCCTCAGACATGATTGAATAAACATGTACAAAATTTATTTAAAATAATGGAATAAAATAACTACAGTGAGAGCACACTGACCAAATTTGTAATATTTTTTAAAAATAAATTATGATCTTCCAGGTGACCCCTAGTTACCTCTCACAGAACCCTAGGGTTCCATGGAACCCCACTGAGAAACCTTGAATTAGATTATAAAAATAATTTACTAACCTTGTTCACGAGATCAAGTCACGTAGAATAGTCAACTTCTAACAGCTTTTAGGGAAAAAAAAAACATTTATTATAAAACTGCAGAAAAAGACTACAGAAAAAGACTCAGAAATACTGGCCCAAGTAGGGAAACCTAATTCCTGGTGGAAAACAACCAAACTTAAAGAATGCTAAAATTATATGTTACTATAGATGCAGCATAAACACAAATGTTTGCAATCTTAAGATGCTTTAGGAAGATGGAGAAGGTAATTATATTTTCAGTATATACACCAGTAAGTTCAAGTGATGAGCTTGGAAAGCAATTACCATTCTCTCAGAATGCCTAAATTATAGAAGAACAATGTAACCTCAGTGAAAGTGGAACGGATTGATGCTAATATCATGAGTATTCATTTGGCAGAATCTAATTTCATCACTGGTTACAAGCTGATAAAAAGCTTTGAACAAACCATTAATATGGAATAAATGAAAACTAAACTCTTACCTCAAACTAATAATTCCATCCTCAGAACCTATTTAATATAAAAAAAAATCCTCACTCATATATGTGAACAATACAAAGCTAGATACACTGGAAATTTATTATAAAAACAAGGTAACTTTGCCATGTTTTTCAGTACACTTCACCCACATTCCAGTTTCAGTCCAGGTATTTCCTTGTCTTTTTGAACTTTCCTAGTTTTATTCTAAGGTTTAGCAAATCAGTCTTGATGAGGATAGCAGTAGCTCCACAGCAATTCCATGGACTAGATCCCTAATGCTTCTGGGTCTTAGATAAACTTTGTCTGGCTGGAATAGGTAGCCAAACTCAGGAGAGTTAAACAATAACCAAAAAGAAGACTGCATAATGGGATGGGGTAGCACTGCCCCAGACAGACCCAGTGCGTAATCTGGGGATCCTCCTGGACTCATGGCTCCTGCTCAAGGAGCAGGTGGCAGCTGTGGCCAGGAGGGCTTTTGCACAACTTCAGGTTGTGCACCAGTTACGCCCTTTCCTGGATCGGGATGCCCTTCGGATGGTCACTCATGCCCTTATCTCCCAGATAGACTACTGCAATGCGCTCTACATGGGGCTAC